CTTTTGGCTTATTTGGGGGCTATGTTCATCCAAGCCACTAGGGGTCATTATTAGCACTCCATGTTTAGATTTAAAAGGGGAAGTAGCAGAAGGAGAATTATACCCAGTGTGATTTGCCACATGCTGTTGACCACTGTCTTTGAAAAATCCTGTTTTGGGAAACTGTTTGTTTAGCTGGTGATTGATTGGCATGTGCCTATGTAAATATTGTCTGTGCACCAATATATGTTTGAAAAGAGTTTATGATCTTTTGACTATTTTTTCCATTACTCTTTGTTTGATTTCTTGAAATATATTATATCTTTCCCAGGGTATTATGCAAATATGATCCCCCCTTTTTTGTTTGTAACTTATCAGTTCTAAGCAGCTGGGACAGTTATAGAATGGCGCCCGAACAGGGACTCTTTGCAAGTTAAGAATTTCAAGAATATTTTGTACATTTTGTTTTGGAAATTATACTGTAAAATGTCAGTCTCTTCATATGTTATTCTATAACTGTCCCAGCTGCTTAGAACTGATAAGTTACAAACAAAAAAGGGGGGATCATATTTGCATAATACCCTGGGAAAGATATAATATATTTCAAGAAATCAAACAAAGAGTAATGGAAAAAATAGTCAAAAGATCATAAACTCTCTTCAAACATATATTGGTGCACAGACAATATTTACATAGGCACATGCCAATCAATCACCAGCTAAACAAACTGTCCCAAATAACAATGATGATCCGTAGATGACCATAAAGGAATACTGGAGAATGAGTTAATGATAGGAAAGCAGGACGTCAAAAGTCAATTTCCTCGGGATGAGACCAAACTGGTCTGTAGGTTTAAGTGGTCACATAGATGTCCTTCCTTGGCTAATGGCATTTCTGCCTCCAAAGGGAATCAATGATATAGGCCCTCTAGCCAGTAATCCAGTAGGAACATAATAGCACAAAAATCCTCTACAAGAAAAAGAAATACAACAAATCACATCCTCATCCATAAACAAACACTCTATTTAACAGGTCTCCAACTACATCAAATATATCCAAAAAAACAAAACATGATATAACCTTACTTACGTTTGGGCAGCAAACAAACAGTTTCCCAAAACAGGATTTTTCAAAGACAGTGGTCAACAGCATGTGGCAAATCACACTGGGTATAATTCTCCTTCTGCTACTTCCCCTTTTAAATCTAAACATGGAGTGCTAATAATGACCCCTAGTGGCTTGGATGAACATAGCCCCCAAATAAGCCAAAAGATAGCCTGCCTTGTAACAGGCTATGACTGTTACATATTCCCCCCCTCAATTAGAAAGATTATCAACAGTTCCATAGAAAGGCTTCAAATTTTGTACATGAAACGTATCAACATGATTGGGATCATCCAAAAATGACACAGAACAATTAACAGGACCCAGACATTTCTCAATCCTAGCAGGACCTTTCCACTTCTCAGCAAGTTTAGCCATAAATCCATCACTAGCCCGTGACAAAGGATGAGTGCGAACCCAAACCAAATCCCCAACCTGGTAATGTACAGGTCTTCTCCGGCGGTCGTAATACCTTCTCTGTTTTGCCTGAGCTCGCTCCACGTTCATTTGCACAGTTTTTATCAGGTCTTTCTGTCTTTCTAACACTGGGTACGCAGGACTGTCCGGATCTGGAGGTCTTTGAATGGCTCTTTCTAGAGGTCCTTTCAATTTCCTGCCTAGTGCGACTTCAGCTGGAGTGAATCCCGTGCTTTCCTGCCAAGCTGTGTTTATGGCAAAACGGAATTCCGCCAACCATCTGTCCCAATGCCTGTGGTGATCTTGAACATAGGATGAGATCATGGTCTTGAGAGTACGGTTGACCCTTTCAGTGAGATTAGTTTGTGGATGTGCTGTGGTAGTCAACTTCTGGACGACACTCCATTGTTTGCAAACTAGCCTGAGGAGTTGGGAAGTGAACTGGGTCCCTCGATCGGATACCAAATACATTGGAGTCCCCCACCTGGTGAAGATTTCTTCTACCAAGATCTGAGCGATTTGAGGTGTTTTGGCCACAGGCAGAGGGAACAACTCTACCCATTTCGAACAGTAGTCTACTACAACAAGGAGATGCTCATTCCGTTTAGAACTCCTAGGAAACGGTCCCATGAGGTCGATCCCTAACATATGTCCAGGTTCCACCACCGGAGTCGACTGCATATGACCGGCTAACTTGGAAATGGAGGGCTTGTATTGTTGACAAACCTGACATTCTTTACAATACTTCCAGACGTCTGAGCGTAGTGTAGGCCAATAACAGATATCTACTAACCTCAGTAGAGTCTTAAGTCTTCCAAGATGGCCACTTAACGGGTTGTCGTGCGCATATTTGAGGAAGTCTTTTATGACCGGCTAACTTGGAAATGGAGTGCTAATAATGACCCCTAGTGGCTTGGATGAACATAGCCCCCAAATAAGCCAAAAGATAGCCTGCCTTGTAACAGGCTATGACTGTTACAATATTGTTTCGAGGCTTCGAATCAATCCGACACCCGTCTCCACGTTGACACCTAGTGGTCACTTGCAGGTGTTGATCTGAAACAACCTTGACGAGCCATGAAAATTTGTTGTTTTTTTATTATTGTACTTTTCTAATATGTGAATCTTGCAACCTATAGGCTCCTCACTGTGCATAATGTTATTTTGGTCCTGCAAAATGAATATTAATAAAATAAATCAAGCCACAATGTCTCACTTTTTTACATATTTTTATTCAAAAATATTCATTTCTCTGCTGTGGAAGGACTTAGCCTACTTCTTTTTTTTTACAGATAATTTCTCCAGCCTTTGAAAAAATCCTCTCACAAGGGACACGTGTTGCTGGCATGCAAAGATATTTTTTTAGCTAATACATACAAATGAGGAAAGATTACTGCTCTCTCTTTCCAGTAAGTTAGTGGATCATGAGTTCTGGGCAAATACGCATCGTTGAGGTATTTTTTCACTTCCACTGTGGCATCAGCTGTAGCATTGTGTATCATCTGGGTTTGATGGATACGAGTATCAAAACGTTCCCATAAACTGTCCTGTGTTTCTACTGGATGATGTATTGTTGCAGTAGGCGAGCTGCCGATCACAATACACACATCTCACTTTATTTGGGGTTTCTAAATGGAAATGCTCCCACACCACAGATGTACGGCATCTCTTCTGGGGAGCCTCCATTTTATCTATCTATCCAAATCTATCTAGATATGTATCTCTAATCTATCTATGTAATTAGATATATGTATCTACAATCTATCTATGTATTTAGATATGTATTTAATATGTATCTATAATCTATCTATGTATTTATATATGTAGCCTATCTTTAATCTATCTATATATGTATCTATCTATTAATCTAGCTGTCTATAAATATTTATATCTATGTATCTATTAATGTGTCACTATATGTATGTGTTGTGTAAATTTAAATGTAAGCCTAAATATAACTAAACAAATCGCACTATATCACCAAAAATCCGCTATCTCAAAATCAAACTCCTCTCACAAAAACCCACGAGGTCAATATGCGTTGATTTCACTTTTATACAGATGTGCGATTGTGTGGTCTGTTGTTCCCGACCGTGTCAATCAAACGCTGATTCGGCGGATCACACCTGATGAAACACTTAGTGAAACACTTCGAGGCTTCGTTTGGCCATAGTCACGTGACATGGGTGTTTTGAATCACGCTTCGAATCAGTGTTTCGAAACATCTGCGCTACGGGATCTCGCAAAGCTTCGGAACGACTGTTTCGCGGCAGCCATCCCTATATTTTAGCATTCCGTGACAGAACGAACCAGCCACATGAGGATTCAGCGGAATAAGGATTTGCGCCAGCCACCGGCCTCCCCTGTTTCCTGCCCTCAGTATGAGCGCATACTGAGGTTTACAGCCTTGACCTCCCTCCATCAACAGGGAACCGACGTGAGGGAGTTTGCCTTAAGGTTCAACGTGGCAGCAGGAGGATTAGGGATGAATGATGCGGCTCTCAAGGACTTATTTAACTATGCCCTTGACGAACCCATCAATTTTTGGAGGATGAGGGGGCTGGAACATCTGACGTTTGGGGAATTCGTTAATTCCCTGGATCGTCGAGGAAATCCTCCAGCTGGGGAGGCTGCAGTTCCCCCAGAAGTGGCAGCTATTGCTGCAGCATCTCAAGAGGCGGTTATTCCAACACCACCTCACCTTCGCAAGCGCAGGAGGAGGAAGGTTCCTGCTCCTTCCCTTAATTCGGTGGTCCGGGAGGACCCGGCTTCAGGGATCTCAGGTCGGGTGGTCCGGGAGGACCCAACTTCGGGTCCAGTGGTCCCTGTTCTGGTGATCCCTGTTCCGGTGGTCCCAGGTGGTCCCAGTTCCGGTGGTCCCGAGTCCGATGGTTCCGAGTCCGGTGGTCCCGAGTCCAGTGGTCCCGAGTCCGGTGGTCTGGAGACGGAGGAGGAAGAGAAAGGCCTCCTCAACGACTTGCCCGGTGGCTCCTAACCCAGAGACCATTCCGGAGGTGACTGCCATCCCTGACGTGCCGCCCAGTTGCCCTGCTCTACCGGCCCCACCCAAGCTGCTCGCCTTGCCGGCCCCGCCCAAGCTGCTCGCCTTGCCGGGCCCGCTCAAGCTGCTCGCCTTACCGGCCCCGCCCAAGCTGCTCGCCTTGCCGGGCCCGCCCAAACTGCTCGCCCTGCCGGGTCCGCCCAAGCCGCTCGCCCTGCCGGCCCCGCCCAAGCTGTTCGTCTTGCCGACTCTGCCAGTGTCTGTTCCTGAGCCGGAGCCAGTGTCTGTTCCTGAGCCGGAGCCAGAGCCAGTGTCTGTTCCTGAGCCAGAGCCAGTGTCTGTGCCTGAGCCGGAGCCAGAGCCAGTGTCTGTTCCTGAGCCGGAGCCAGAGCCAGTGTCTGTTCCTGAGCCGGAGCCAGTGTCCCCGGACAAGATGGCCGCCACCGGGTCGGTGTCTGTTCCTGTGCCTGAGCCGGTGTCTGTTCCTGTTCCTGAGGCGATGTCTGTTCCTTTTCCTGAGCCGGTGTCTGTTCCTGTGCCGATGTCTACTCCTGTTCCTGAGCCGAAGCCAGTGTCTGTTCCTGAGCCTGTTCCAGTGTCCCCCGACAAGATGGCCGCTGCCGGATCGGTGTCTGTTCATGTGCCTGACCCGGTGTCTGTTCCTGAGCCGGTTCCTGTTCCTGTACCGGTGTCTGTTCCTGTGCCGATGTCTGTTCCTGTGCCGATGTCTACTCCTGTTCCTGAGCCAGGCTCGGTTCCTGTTCCGCCTTGGTTTTCACCGCCATGGCCGCCCGAAGGGTCGTCTCCATCATGGTCACTCGAATGTATCGTGGCCGCCTGATGGGTCGTCTCTGCCGTGGCCGCCCGAGGGGTCTTCACCGCCATGGCTGCCCGAGGGGTCTTCTCCGCCGTGGCCGCCCGAAGGGTCTTCTCCGCCGTGGCCACCCGAAGGGTTTTTTCCACCGTGGCCGCCAGTTGGACTGTCGTCTCCGCCCTGGCCGCCTGATGGTTGTCTGCTTGGCCCTGGCCAATTGCTAAGTCGTCACCCCTTGTTCCTGTGTCCCTCCCTGGTTCTCCCCTCCCTCCCTCCCTCCCTCCCCTCTCGGTGTATGTGTTCTAATCTGCTTGTCTGCTGTTTGGTCTTGCACGTTGGATGTTCCTGTCTTGTTTTTGGTGTCCCTCCTTGGGAACGCCAGGTGGCATCCCTGTGAGGGGGGGGGGGGGGTAAGTGTCACAGTTCTGTCACCCTTGTCTGGGTTTTCTCTTGGTTTAGTGACAGAGCTGTGACACTCCCGGTTTGTCATGTGTTTGTTTAGTCTGGTTTGTTGTGAGCAAATGGCTGTCATGTTATTTCCTTGTGCCATGTGCTCTCCTGTCAATTGTCAAACCCCGCCCATCTTATCTCGTTATTGTTTTATTTTCCCCACCTGCCTGCCTCGTTACCCTCTTATGTTTGTTCCCCTATTTAATCCCCCTGTGTTTGCAGTCCTGTGCTGGTTCGTTGTCTATGTTCCTAGTGTTTCCTGTTCCTGCCAGATGTCTGTCTCGTTTTCTGTCTAGTTTTTGTTTGTAGTTTGGTTTCCTTTTTTTATTAATTAAAGATCCTTCTATTCCAGCACTTGAATCCTCGCTTTACCATTTTACAAATTCCGTGACACCATGTGCTCTACTTCTATTGGATAGTCGCGTCGCGGTCAACGGATTAATTTGCATAAAGATGGGCATCGGCCAGCTTTTTGACGCGCAGCATTTTTACAGAAGTGTCCCATGGACAAGTGGATCCGTACCGTCCCGTCCCGGATCCTTACCGCCACGGTATGGATCCACTTTTACGCGTGACACTTCTGTCGCGGTGCACTCCACTTAATTCCTATGGGTGACGTCTAGCGACTTTAACGCGCCCGTAAAGCGTTTAAAATGGCGGAAGGCGGCGCTGCATTTAAAAAATGCTGCGCGTCAAAAAGCTGGCCGATGCCCATCTTTATGGAAATAAAATCCGTTGAACGAGATGCGACTATCCAATAGAAGTAGAGCACATGGAGACTGGGAGAAGTCTCTCGGGGGTCCATTGTTCTAGACGTCCTACCACAAAAATGCTCAGGAAACATTAGTTCAGAGTAGCGAAAATGGAGGAGAAATTAATTGTGGCGGTTGCAGCATTTCCAAATCTATATGACCCATCTTTGTTGTCCTATAGTGACATCCTTCTCTGTTTTCAATTCATGACTGCTCAATGAAATCCATATTTATACACATCACTTCTCCCTCCAAATTTCAAAATTCGAGAGGGAAGGTTGGTTGGTTTCAAGCAAATGTTTTAAAAACACAACATTCCCCGCTGGCTCAAAACCATGCCCATAGCGGTAAACTTGAGGAACGCCCATCAATGTACAAATGAGGCGTCGCAACACCACGCTTCAGTCGTGTCGCAAAAGTGGATCCGTACCGTCAGTCTCCACAGTGCGCTCTTAAAGGGCAACATTCTCCACCCTTCCATAATCAGCCGATCATGCTGGATTACGGATTAGTCTATCACTGATGTCAAAAAGAGAGTAAAAACATGACAAACACACAAGCCCGTGCAGCAGGGCAGATGGGTGACAGTTAGGGATCGCTCCAGTCGCGGATCAAAAAAACACTCTTCCGTTCCGATTACCATAACAAATCGATTTGCCCCACTCAGTGTAACACCCACTGAGAATTCTGTTGATTGTGCCCTGGTAATTGGTGATTCGATCACACGGAACGTGAAAATAGAGACACCAGCCACCATAGTCACATGTTTGCCGGGAGCCAGAGCGCCTGACATCAAAGCAAATTTAAAAGTACTGGCTAATGCTAATCGTAAATTCTCTAAGATCATTATTCATGTCGGCACTAATGATGTTCGACTCCGCCAGTCAGAGATCACCAAAATTAATATTAAAGAGGTGTGTGAACTCGCAAGTACGATGTCAGGCACTGTAATTTGCTCTGGCTCCCTTCCTGTTCGCAGGAGTGATGAGATAGTTAGTAGATTGTGTTCACTCAATCGCTTGTTGTCTGAGTGGTGTCCGCATATTAATGTAGAATCCATAGACAATTGGAAAACGTTTTTGGGGCAAGCCTGACCTGTTGAAAAGAGATGGTATTCATCCCTCCTGGGATGGTGCTGTTCTTCTCTCTAGTAATTTGGCTTATAGTCTTAGAGCTAAAACATGACAAACTTGGCACCAGGTCAGGAAGCAGACAGACTGGCTAAACCGACCGTCTGGTAGCGGCCTCACGTCCCCAAGGTCAGATAAATCCCATCACATAGAGGCTCTTTCGCCTAGATATCATCATATAGAGACTGTGTCTGTTCCCCAAATTTGGATATCCAGAAAACATCAGATTAAATTTTTTATTGATGTTCAACAAATAAAAAACAGATATAATACAGATGAGCAAATGATAAAGCTTGGGTTGCTGAATATTCGATCCCTTACTTCAAAATCGCTCATAGTTAATGATATGATTTCAGATTATAATCTAGATGTTCTGTGTTTGACAGAAACCTGGATAAAACCAAACGATTACATTACTTTAAATGAATCCACCCCACAAGATTACAGTTATAAACATGAACCTCGTCTGAAAGGCAAAGGGGGAGGTGTTGCTGTAATTTATAGTAATATCTTCAAATCCACTAAGAAATCTAGTTTTAAATATACTTCTTTTGAAGTATTGGTGCTTAATGTAAAAATATATAGTGTAAACGATAAATCAGGTTTGAGAATTATGCTGGCTACTGTATACAGGCCACCAGGGCACCATAAAGATTTTATCAAAGAATTTGCGGACTTTCTATCAGAACTAGTATTGTCTGCAGATAAAGTACTAATTGTTGGTGATTATACATGTATATAATGAAAAAGATGCATTGGGATTGGCATTTAAAGACATTGTAAACTCAATTGGAGTTAGACAACACGTGTCAGGACCTACTCATTGCCGTAATCATACTCTAGATCTAATATTATCACATGGAATAGATGTTGATGCCGTTGAAATTCTGCAGCAGAGCGATGACATCTCAGATCACTATCTAGTCTCATGTAAACGTCACTTAGCCAAAGCAGCAAAGCCGACGCCGTGTTATAAATATGTTCCCTAGTGAAAAAAAAGTATGCCAAGTATACTTGCAGCCAGACTAATTGTCAGTATACTTCAAGTGTGTTAATGATTAGTTAACTTGAAGTGTGCTATTTTGGATACATTTTTTTGTACTAAGTGTATTTTAGTTATAATTAAATAATATTAAAGTATAACTTTAAGTGTATTTAGTGTACTTTTTGATGCTAAATTGAGACAATTTCAAGTATACTTAGTACACTTTAAGTACATGCGTATTTTCATGCTTAAAGTGTACTTTATTTGTGTTACAAGTACATTACAAATTCATTATGAGTGTCTTCGAAACATATTTGGACTATATTTTAATATACTAAATTATGCTAAAATGGAACCACTTCCAGTACATTTAAGTGTATTTCTTTGCAGTTCATTAAAAATATACTTTCATATGTCTTAAACTAGTTATAATATATGTGAAGCATAATTTTAATGTACTTCAAGAACATTTAAATAGCATCAAAAGTGTATTAGCATTACACTAATAGCTTATTATAAAGCGGTTTTATTCAGTATTTAAAATGGTATATTAAAAGTGCAAAAATAATTAAATATAAACATTAAGACATGCACAGACTTCGAAAATCAAGAAAACTTTAATATAGTATCTTGTGTAAATTACATAAGAGTAAAAAAAGAAATTAAAGTAAATTAAAAAGATCAGTGAAATGCTATGGCAGAGCTATATTTATAATTTTTTTGTAGAACATTTCAGTTATACATGTATTACTGAAACGTACACTATGAATTTTACATCACTAAATAAGCATCACAATGCAATTTTCTGAAGAAGAAAAAAAAAGTTTCAGAAAAATAATGTGCAGAAGTGAATAATGCATTATTTACAAACTTAGGCCTACAAATGGCTGAACCAAAGAAACAGAAGAGTTTGAATGTCACATCTTCATCTTCAAGTAGACGATCACTTCTCTGAGTTCGACTCATTTTCTGCAACTGGGGCTTGTAGTATTTGAAGACTGCTTTATCAGAGGATCTTTGAAAGGGAAGAATAATTAATATAAAATTAACCAATGATTAACATTTGTGTATCCATGTTTCAATATATATGTATAATAATTTGCATAGAAATGCATTAGAATTCTGTTGACTTCTCAGTTTACCTTTAAAAGCTTTGGCTATATCCTCCTCAGCAAGCTTTATCCTCTTGTCTGTCGTCACTGTACAGCACTCTATGAGTTACATTGAACATGAGATTAGAAGAAGCCCAACACAATTTACAGTGAGCAAAGTTCAATCAAAAAGTTACAGATATAGTTATTTGCACAATAAAGCAACCTGTGAGTATTAGAGGATATGTTTTATATTGATAATTGCGGTTTATTTAAAACCTAGGGTATTTCCCATGAACCTGTCTATTGTAAAGAAAGATCTAAAGATTTAAGGAAATTAGAAGTTGTTAAAAATATTGTATGCAAGGACAACTAGGACAAGTGACTTACAGCTTTACTAAAAAACACAATTAAATAAACAGATTTTTACATGAATGACTCAAAGGCAGCACAAATTAGACACCTGAAATGGACACGCGTCGCTAACATTTTCCTAACTGTCGACCACCGCTCAATAGGCCTGATTCAAAAATCTCTATAAAAGAGGTGATATGAGATCAAACCATACTTACTACTCTCTTCTTCGCTTGTCTCTGCACTCAGATTTCAGTTTTTCTTCTATAGCAGCTGGTCTGAAAAACAACAAATACTAATATGAAAAAAAAAAAAAAGAATTATATATGCATACATACGGCAATAATGTTGTCAAGCTTGAACTACTATAAACACCAATCAGCACACACTACGATAATTGTCTGGTCAGCTTAAGACAAAGTAACTTTGTTCATAACATGTATTTTTCCCCAAAACTTTTCAAAAAAAGATCATTTACATAATGAAGCCAAATTTTTCAGGAAATCAGAAATAAATACACAGCTTCATTTTGCAAATAAAAATAATGTTAATGCAATGTTGTACATGTTATAATGACTAATTATGTTTTTTGCAGATGCATTGGACAATGTTTTATATTTGTTTTAAGACAAACAAATGTCTCCACATAGATTTTAAAAAGATTTATTAAGATAAAAAAAAAACGTATTTATGCAAACAGCAACTAAAACTTACCAGTAACTTCTGAGGCAGTATCTTCATCTCTTCCAGTCTGCTTCGACGTGAAAAGCTTGGCTCTGATTGGTCAAATTGAATGTAGCTGAACTGAAAAAGACGTGCTGTTACAATTTGTGTCAAAAATACGATTGGCATAGACAAGTAACGTTAATGTAATACAAATCTTACCTAGAAGAATCACAACATAATGAGGTTCCAAATGTCACACGCCATGCAAACTTGAAGAAGCTGGGTAAAATCACGTTTGTCATAACGCTACGTTTCAAAAAGTTAATCACAAAAAATACCACCTAATCCATATGAATCGCGTGGTCCTCCTACTCCTCTAAAGAGACACGATCGCTCTATATATTTTTAACAGTTTAAATTTAGACTTCTAAATCTTATGGAATGCCAAAGCTGACTTAATTAAAAATAAATAAATACATAAATAAATATACGAATAAATGTAAAAAAACAAAAATACATAAATACATACATAAATAAATATACAAAGAAATGTAAAAAAGTACAAATAAATGAGTATTTATACTTTTATTTCCTTATTTATGTATAATTGTATTTTTTCACACATTTTTTTATTTTTTTATTTATACATTTATTTATTTCCACTTTTATTTATTTCCACATTCATTTATGTATTTATGTTTTTATGTCTACATTTATTTATTTTCACATTTATTTATTTATACATTTATTTATTTCCACATTTATTTATTTCCACATTTATTTTTTTCGACATTTCTTTGTCCGTATGCTAATGAGGGGGGCGTTTTACCTCAGACATCAGCAATCGAGCTCAGAGTGGCAGTGCTGAAGCTTTGAGGCCACAGTGACACCTTGTGGTGTGTGACCAAACGAACCGCAAGAGGTGTGCGGACAATATCACATTTTAAGTCATGTATATCACCCTAACTGTATGTAGGGTAGGCTATATAGGGTTAACACACATAGCACACATGAACAGAAACTGCGTCATATCATTAATTCAGACCGATTCATTCAGTACTGATTCATTCAGTTCGGGGGAAAACACCACCTGTTACTGTTAAACTGTACAGCTCAAGGAACAAAATTATGGCGGGGCGATGTGTGTCTGAGCTGAAATGAAATAAATGCTGTAAAAAAAAGCCCATGTATGAGATAATTTTATTATAATTCCCCCCCCCCCATATTGAATGAATCGGTCTGAATTAATGATATGACTCACTCGTTTAGACAGTGACTTACCGCCACCTACTGGCTGTTTTAGTTTGATATTTAAACATACAATTTAATTGATTCCATCATTTCATATTTCTATATTCATTTATTTTTAACATTAATCTCATAACGACTTTTATGCAATTGTATTTGCAGTGTAAAAGCATTCTCCTCTGTATTAAGATTTTGACTTTTAATGACTTAATGACTTTTGTTAATTTTATTTTACTGATAACAGCCATAGTGCCTTATTATAATTATAACTGAGTAGTTTATCGATTAATATTAAGAACTTGACATATATGATGATGTACAGTATAGCCTACCTATTTAATAAGGTTTGGGTAGATATAACATCAATTTATAGGGGGAAATATCACCACGCCCATGGGCACGACAGGTGCTGTTTGAATGGGCATGATGATGCTTCTGTCCTCCACTGCATGGGGTGAGATGCGTGGCTCACTAGCTGCGTTTACATGAGCCCCTTTTGTTTGATTTAAGAATAATTCCAAATTGATGACTTGTGATTAATCAGTATCTAAGAGCAGCATCTATGAAATATGGGTTGTGTTTTAAGCATTTGAATTGTCACCTGTTATGCATACGAAATTATGAAACGCGAATGTAAACCGTGTATTGAGTCGCGTTTCAAACTCATTGATCAATAAGCTTGCGTAGGAGTCAGTGAAATGTGTGCTGGTTTCTCTCCGCGTTCTGCGCTGGTGTGCGAGTCTCATCGACAGTAAACGCAAGCTCTTATCAGCCCTATCCACCGCGTTTACATTGTTATTAATAGTGGATACTTTCATGCGCTTCCATGTCCAAGTGCCTGCTATCAGACCCGTTGAAGTGCAGTTTCTGTTCATGTGTGCTATGTGTGTTAACCCTATAGCCTACCCTACATACAGTTAGGGTGATATACATGACTTAAAATGTGATATTGTCCGCACACCTCTTGCGTTTCGTTTGGTCACACACCACAAGGTGTCACTGTGGCCTCAAAGCTTCAGCACTGCCACTCTGAGCTCGATTGCTGATGTCTGAGGTAAAACACGCCCCCCTCATTAGCATACGGACAAAGAAATGTCGAAAAAAATAAATGTGGAAATATATAAATGTGGAAATAAATAAATGTATAAATAAATAAATGTGAAAATAAATAAATGTAGACATAAAAACATATATACATAAATGAATGTGGAAATAAATAAAAGTGGAAATGAATAAATGTATAAATAAAAAAATAAAAAAATGTGTGAAAAAATACAATTATACATAAATAAGGAAATAAAAGTATAAATACTCATTTATTTGTACTTTTTTACATTTCTTTGTATATTTATTTATGTATTTATTTATGTATTTTTGCTTTTTTACATTTATTCGTATATTTATTTATGTATTTATTTATTTTTAATTAAGTCAGCTTTGGCATTCCATAAAATCTAATCACATTCAAGTAACATACACGCACAGCATATTATCTGATAAACGGAAGCTCTGAGTGAGGTGCAAGCGAGCTCATTATCATAAGAACAAATCACAACCATTTAACGGCTCTGGAACCAATCAGGACTAGTCAAGTGTATTATGCTATTGTTTGAATTTAACCAAGTACAAACGTTTTTTTTAACTTCTCTGGAAAATGTATCTATGATCAATTTCAAATAATATGATGTTGAAATCCTTGTGGGAATTTTAGTAGTACAAACGTAGCATGCAGTGGACAACAGCCTTTTACAAGTAGCCTACAAACAAGTAAAAGTGAACAACATTAATTAGGTATGCTTATTGCAATGCTTAATAATAGTTGACAAATGTTTCTAATACATTATAAGTTGGTACATTGTGAATATGTATATTTTTAAATATTAAAATGATAAATACATACATATTTAAAATATATTGCAGCTAGGCCTTAGTGTTTATAAAGTTCATATATTTTAAACACACTAAAAGCTTAATCATTGTGCTATGTTCTTACACAAAGTACTCCAAAAATGTATTGTAAGTAAGAGCAACATAAGTATGTTTTCTTTAAATGCACTAAAACTTCACTAAAAGTATTCTTGTGTTTAGCTTATTTCTTAAAAATGTAACTAAGCATATTATTATTACCAACGTACTTATAGTGCACTTTTTAGAAATATGTTAAAATTATGCTTGTTTTTAGCATATTTTTAAAAGTATAATTAAGCATGTATTTATTACCAATGTACTTCTAGTGCACTTGTTAGAAATATATTAAAAGTATACTTGTGTTTAGCATATTTCTTAAAAGTGTAACAAAGCATATATTTTTAACCAATGTACTTATAGAGGACTTTTTAGAAATATGTTAAAAGTATGCTTGTTTTTCAATATACTTTTAGAAAATATACTAAAGTACAATTATTTTAAAGTGTGTTAAAAGTTGTATTGTAAAAATAGGTAAAAAGGATGATGCTAATATACTTTTAATATATTTAAAGATAGTAATTTTGTGTTAGTATATTTGCAATGTACTATTGAAAAAGGGAATATATTTCAAATACAATAAAGTATACTTTTTTTCCACTTGGGTTAGACCTATAACTTCTGCCACTAAAGATTGCTTTATCCAGGGACGTGCACAGGGGGGTTGCTCAGGTTGCCCGGGCAACTGCCCATATGCCCTTCTCGACTTAGGTTGCCCTTCCAAAAAAAAAAAAAAAAAATCGTACAATGGATGCAGAATTTCACGTAGGCCTAGATAAAAAATAATAATAAATTTTTTTTTTTTTTTTCGCAAAGCCTCATTCACTTCCATTCGGGCACTCAGCTCAACTGTTTACATGGCTGCAGCTCTGCACGCGACCGGTGCGTAAGGCCCGCCTCCATCTCTTGTCATAGCGCGTCAATTAATGTGTACAACATCCATGACAAAAAGAAACTATCCTTTTGGTCACGAAAAGAGGAAGAAGAAAAAAACCATGAGAGTGAATTGCGGGAACAACAATCAGGTAAACTTGTGTTCTCTCCCCTCTAAGTTTGATGTCAGCAAAGTTTGATGTTTTTCGGTCTTGCTAATTTAGCTGGGCAGGCAGTGCATCTCTTGCATCACTTTGTGCCTGACAAAAGTGAGAGTAAAATACAATTATTTATTACGTTTGTTTTTGATAAACGACAAAGTGCAACGGTGATTGTTTACTGCAGCTCAGAAAACATAACCGCGTCGCGTGTGTTATCGTGCGTTCATATGCGCGTGCACGAAATGAAACGCGCATTTTTCAAGCAGAAATATGTGGAGACCAGACATACTGTACAATATATGCACGTGAATGATGGCACTCCCAATCAAAGTACACATTATACGTTTAAAACAAGACACTGATTATCTAGTCTCAGTGTTAAAAACTCTAAACAACTGCACTAATTATGCAAGATAGACAGCATTTATTGACAATTTGACATTGATTGACTATTGATTTATAGGCTATATTGAATTTAAAATGTTGATTAGCTGGACATACTGGTCAATATGGATGCACATCCCTCAGTAAATAATAACCATAAATCAAGAATTGCTTCAACATGCATAATAATAAATAAAAAAAATCATACTGATGCCGAAAATACCCAGGCAGTAGAGAGAACCAAAGTTAATCCCAAAAGCCAAAGCTCAGGGTTATAATTTATTATTTTCTTCTCATTTATGTTTACGTTAATATTCACTTGTTGTGTTAACATTCTATAGAAAATACTCTATTCAA